GTGGTTGTGGTTGTTGTTGTTGTTGTTGTTGTTGTTGTTGTTGTTGTTGTTGTTGTGGTTGTTGTTGTTGTTGTGGTGGTTGTTGTTGTTGTTGTTGTTGGTGGTGGTGGTGGTGGTGTTGGTGTTGGTGTTGGTTTGGTGGTGGTTGTTGTTGTTGTTGTTGTCGTCGTCGTCGTTGTCGTAGTAGCAGCAGTAGCGGCAGGCATCTCATCATCGCAGGGAGTCAGTCAATGCCCGGGGCGGAGATAAGATAGCCTATTGCATTTTACAAGCGTCCTGTGAGGGGCAAATCTGTTGCGCAACAGGGCTTGTGCGTGTTTCTACCATCCTATCATGCTCTTCTCGGCGGAAGGAGCTGCAGGCTTCGATCCGGGACGTGAAGGAAGAGAAAAAGACCACAGAAGCGTTCAGCAGCCAATTGGAGGGCAGGCGCTCCTGCATCAAGCGTACGTAGCGACGTAGCTTTGATTGCCCGCCGGCAGGACCAATAGCACAGCTACGGCTTGAATTGTCGCGACTGCTTCGTTGCGAAGAGTGAGATATCAAATCCATCATAGACTTGGCTATTGAGAGAGAGAATCTCCGGTTGTAAATATTTCGCCTTGTAAGGCACCTCCAGAACATGTAGAACACGCAGAACCACAGATTGAAGGCTAGAGGCCAGATATGACCAGCTACCAGCTGTGAAACTGGAAGGGAAGCTTCAGGCCCTGTCAACATAATTATGTGTAACTGAAAATCCTCGAAATGTCTAGATTGCACTCGATCTTTCCCAAACCCAAATCTTTGCAGGATACGGGGCATTGAAGAGAAAGCCCATGCATCTTGGCTCTCCTGGTTCCGATATGAGGTCACGGGCTTTCTTACTGGAAAGGCCAGGGGGTCCCTTCAGGGGTCCTTGTCAAAAAGATGGAAAGCACCCCGGACAGTCTTGGTGCTGCACGAGCTGGCGGAATACTTGTAACAAGGGTGGGGATGAGCAGACCAAGTTGTATATCGAAGAAGGAAGAACAGTACGAGCGGTCGGTGAAATCGGGAGCGACGAGGTATTATCGAAACAGTAATACGAACCGCGCCTAGACTAAGGCGATGAGGTTTGCAGGTGTGCGAGAACATGTGTTTATATCCCGTGACTCACGGATTTGGGGCTGAGGAGTCTGAGAAGAAGCTCCAAGAGCATGCGGCAGCCTGGCTGAACCATGGTACGAGTACTATATAGATATAGGTCTGGATAGCTACTTATGGCAACTCGGAAGGCGCCCTATATTGCTGCATAACTCACGATTGCACCAAACCCCTGTTATGAATCACGAAGGCCCCTGCCTCATTTCTGAAAGGTTTTCTGAGGCTTATTGCCTTCGGTTAGACGGGAGCGCAGTGGCAGCTCCCTCTGGGATGGGGCTTGAGACGTACTTTTGTAAGAGCTTTGATGATTTGAATACTGTAGGTTTCCGGTGTTATATTATCCTATCATTACAATAGCGGCTAGTTTCTGCAGGCCCGAATAGTCGAGAGGGTTCTCTGGACACATTGTCGGTACAGAGCTTATAGCAAGCCTCTCGTAAAGTCGGGATGTCCAAATATGTCATGCGAGAACGTGGCTTCGGACTTACTCGCACAGAACGTCGTTGCATAACTTGCATGGTGCAGGTCTCGGAATTTGGCTCTCCCGCACTGATTGTTGTTGCGTTCGCGCTCGCTGGACACCGCTTAGGGCGTTCCATGATGCCTTGGATGCTTTGGGTTCCTCTGCCTCTCGGTCCCTCAAGCTTTCTCTACTGGAGGAGAAGCACTTAGCAACGTCCTCTGCGTCATCAAACCTCAAAGGACGAGCCGAGGCAGGAGGAGCGATTGCAGGAGGGCTGCTTGAATCTACTTGAGTGACCGCTCCACTGTGTGATCGTTGTATCGGATGTACAGTGTACTGCCAAGCCCGGTCCAGCACTTCGACGCTCGAATCATGTGTGCGCTGATGTGGAGGCCATGGAAAAAAGCCAGGAGGAGATGAAAGATAGGCCGTGTGCTTTACCGTTCTTCATCGGGACTTGTGGGCCAGTTTCCCCGCTGATCTGCTCAGCTGTTGTCAAACTGTCCTCAATTTACGCTCCTGATGACTTGAAGAACTGGCAGAGGTGTAAACCTCGACTTTTGATGGACAGGTAAGTACGCTTCCTTGCAAGCGAGCATTGTGAGGGGGAGTCAAACCCTTTGTGCTGCAACACCCGTGCCTGTGAAGTCTTGAGGGCCATATAATAAGGGTTCGATGCGGTCTTGCAAGGATCCTGCAAGGGCTCCAATCACAAAAGTGAGAAGATGTGAAAGCTGATCCAGCAGAGCAGGGAAGAAACAAGTAGTCGGGTTTCGGAGCAGGCCCGGGAGAAAGAAAAGGCTCACACATTTTGGAGTCTTAATACTATCGGATATTATAGGGATGTTTAGGGACATGATAGATATAATTTTTTACATAAGCGGTCGTATCTGGGGGGAGAACTCTGCAGGTTAAACAAGGCTGACATAGCGATCACAGACTACCGGGTCCTGGCAGCTGAGAACAAGCAGAGACTCGGCGATTTCAGTGTGAACTTCCTTAAGTCGCAATGAATCCCCACAGGCATACCCGATCGCGGTGGTTTGTGCTGTATTGCTTGGTGTGGGGAATAGAGGATCTGGGCTGATACTCCAGTCTTCTGCCGACTTGCCTGGCATTGAGCCTCGAAAAACGGAAGCCCATGTAGTCTGGTTCATGTCCCCCTCTGAGATTCACGAACCCACCCTGTTCCAGTAACATCTTAAAAAGGTTCTGCTGGCGATGGGATGACCCTTGAAGAAAAAGGTTGCCGGTAAACCGGGGGGCCTGACATGAAGCCGGAGCTGAAGCTTTGCGCCCTCAGGAACATCGCAAAGCTGCTGGAGGTGGTCTCGAGTCCTGCAGCTGGTCTGCCGGAAAGTTCTGGCTTTGGTTTAGTGCTTCGAGTCGCGATTTGGATGATGGCGGATGCAAATATTGAGATCGGGGTCGGCAAAGTGAGAAAGCAGGAAATCAAGAGTGTCCCTTGGGAACCGACCGAGTGCGTGTAGCCATGGAAGGGTCACTTGTCGAAATGACCCCTTGGGATTTACGAGCACTCCCACTCCACTGCCGCACTAGGCAATTCCAGCCTCTGAGTCTCTTTACAGCACCTTGGGCCGCGACCCTTAGGATTATGCAGATTGCCAGTTGCTCATAAGCCTCAAGGATGTGCTGGTCAACATGGAGTCTTCCATCCTCGAGGTGACGAAAATCAGCCAGCAGAACTCCAAGGTGTCCTTTGGGCCGTTGGGTGATTTCAGATATGAGTCTGTGCTTGTGTTTAGAGGATGCATGGGATCACAGAGCTTCGACAAGCATCCCAGCGTTGGCCACTAGTTGTTCCACACACACATACACAGTTCACATCCCCTCGGTGAAAAGAGAAATGGAGGACACGTCAGCTAATCAGCTGCTTACTGGGCCTTGCTGCCTGATCACTGCTTGAAACGTAAGAAACGTGACGGTGTAGGCTTGCATTGCAAGCGGCCTCACATGGCCTCGCCAACACAACCATGCAAAGGCGCTCACCACGCTGACAGCTCAATGCCATGAGCTGTCCCAGCAAGAGCTGGAGGCCTGGCCTTTCCTGGAAGTTGCACGGTCTGAGTATCTAGTACGAGCTGCCGTTTAAGAAGCAGCACGAAAGGACTAGAAAGAGCTGATATCCATAACGACACTGCGGCAGCACCAGCAGCAATACAGCAAGACAAGCACGGAGCAAGGCCGATAACAAAGCCTACGACAGCAGCAGCAGCAGCAGCGGAAGAAGAAACAGCACGGCAACAGCAGCAAAGCAACATCACGACAGCCAGCAATCACCACGCATAGTACCTCAACGCCGCATTTGAAACAAGTTGCGCTTCGGGTATACTGAGGTATAAATGTCAATAGGTTGATGGCACTACAAGATGCAGCTCGAAATCGGACCCAGTCCGTGGGGGGTCGCGAGGTGTGCATGTTTTTTGGTTTTAGAACTTGCGTGGCTCTGAACTGAAGCTTGTACTGACACACAGGCACACTCACATTGCCCCGGTGAGTGGTGTAGAGTGTAGAACATGCTTCTGTCTCATCCAAGGTGCGGGTGTAATGTGTGCTAGCTAGCGTTCCACAAGGCCCATAGCTTGAACAAGAGTTAAATACTGTATGCAAAAGGCATGACAGCTGCAGATCAAAGGTCCAGCACCAGCGACCAGCAGCATCAGCAGCAAAAACACTAGCGTTGTCAGCATCATCACAGCCACGAACATATCACCATTACCATCACTGCTGTCATTACGACGACCGTTGTCATGCGTGTCACCGACATCACCTCGTCCATTGTCAGTGTCGCCGCCTGCGCCGTCGTCCTTACCATCTGCACCGTCTCCTCCATCAGCAGGTTACATGCAGACCGCTGTTTGACCCAGCGGCCGAAACAAATCAAACGGGCTTTGGCGACATGGCCTGTCTTGTTTGCAGGCGCAAAAGAACACTGAGCCGCTCGTCGAAGCCCAGCGGTTGGCGATGTGTGTGTGTTTTTTTTTTTTTTGTTTTTTGTGTGTGTGTGTGTGTGCGTGTGCGCACAGCCTACGAGTAATGCAAACCAGCTATGCGTAGAAGGTAACTAGCATCCGCGCAAACTGGAAAGTATGGAGGTGTACAGCGTCTGACTGTGACTGTGAAAGCTTTGCAGGCTTTCCGGGACCGTAAGGCGAACAAGAGTCGCGAGGGCCGGCGGCTATGATAACCAAGTATGTAGTCATCCCAGCATAATCGTTTCATCCACATAAGGGTATCTTAGGGGTCCCTTGTTCATGTTTGGTGACCCTTATACCCAGGATTCTACTCTTTGAAGGTTTATTACAGTCTATTCAGGCTCACCTGCCTTGAATTTCTTTATCCACCAGCCCAGAAAACAAACTGACTGGAGGCCGAAGCTAAACAATTGCTTTGCTTGCCTGCTCTGTGCGAGAGTAAGAGTCGAAACCCTAACATCTGAATGTTGTGGTTTTGTTGAGTTGGCGTGTTTTCTGCTGGGCTGGTGCGGGTCCGGATCTGGATGCACTCGCTGTCCTCTCGGTCTGTTGTTTGCTTAATTTACACAAATATTATTTTAGGGCGTCGTGAAGTCTTGTCTGCCTTTACCGAGTGCACAAGTCTAAACCCCAATTCCCCCAAGCCCTTGTCGTTTTTTGGTCAAGCGACCTCGTCTGGCAGTGTTCGAGTTTTGAATGCGTGAAGCCCCTATCCTGCATCGTAAACTTCCAAATCCCAAGCCTGAGGCACACATATGCCGATGAAGAACTCCCAAACTCCTAGATCCTAAGCCCAAGGCACCTTGGTGAGCAGCTAGTTTATCTGGGCAAACGAGCTGGACGGATGGAAACTGTTCTGGGCTTGGATGAGATGGACAAGGATGAGATCCGCTTAGTGTTTTGGAGTTTGTGTTCAGGGGTTGAAACCGCCTCATTACCATTTCCCGTGCTAGCATGATTATTCGTGTCTTCTTGTAGTGCTGTATTTCTTACTCGTGCTGTTATTTCTACTATTGCGCTGTAGTCATTAACCATGCATTCGTTTCTGGGTCCAAGGGGCTTTTGGATGGATCCTTGCACCCTGATCTCGTCAGGTTGAGCCTAAAGACCAGGGCAGAGGGTGTTGGGCTAGGTCGGCCTTCGGTGCGAAGAACGGCAATCCGACCAAGCAAGAAAGGCATGTCTAGACACCGTGCCATCAGGTGGACCAGTCTTCCGATCGTTCCGAGATTCGGAGAGTTTAAGGGGCCGCATGTGGCACGGAGGGCAAGCGAAAAGTCGGAAATATGCTAGTCCACGCGCAGGTTCCGCCGTGGCACGACTCGGCTCTTACTTAATTGCTGATTTCCCAGCCCCAGAGCACCTCGTATACACCCACAGGCTTATACAACTCATTTCCGCGAAATTTCTATGAATTCGCGGAGATGTCAAACTTCTCCAACGACCTGCGCAGGACGACGACGATGCCAAGACTGGAGTGGTCTTCAAGAGTGGGATCCTCCTAACAGAGCAGCTTCCAGGTTGCAACTACCGGAGATCGGGGGCTCAGGCCCTCGAGCATTTGTCCAGAACTCGTGCTCATGACCAGAACTCCCAAACCCAAAACCCCTAAATCCGAAACCCTAAGTTTGATTGACCACTCTAAGCGCGCAGAATCGAGGTCTTCACTCTCCCAAGGGTCTGCAGGGACGCGACAACCTCCTCGCCTGGCTTGTCCGAGTTGTGAGAGCGTAAAACCCAACATAGCAACACGACGACTTTCTGTGAATCATCGTGGGTTCGTCTATGAAGCTAGCACAGATTATCCGTGGTGTCAGTGCTACCCGGGCCGGATCGAGACGTCAGCCCTACATCGTGCAGCATTGTGCTTGACGTGGCTTCGCGGCTCGAACATGCCGTGAGCTGGCTCCCAAGGCAGCGCTGCATGGTGCCCAGCTTCTTCCAGGCAAGTAACACGACCCTCATGCGCCAGATCTTGGTTGGTGTATGCCTCGCAGCCTTTGCGCTGCCATCTGCCTGTGACGAAGTGGCGCGGAGTTCAGACAACCCGTGCAAAGGGCCAGACTGTGGTGCGAGTACGAAAAAGTCCTTGAGACAGCCAGCTCAGGATGGAAAGTCAAACTCGCAGATCCTCGCTAAGTCTAAAAGTTGTGTACGGTATGGATGTAAGGATGAGTATGTAAGGTGGCGCGACTGTCAGTGCAACAGGGATTGCTTCAAGAATCAGAACTGTTGTTATGATTACGTTCAGCAGTGCAAGGGTGCGAAGAGTGCAGATGCACCGGTTTTGGGAGCATTGCCCAAAACTTCGGCGATCAACAAGACCACATCTTTCCGTGGAGCAACGACAGCCAAGCGGGGTAGCTGTGGTGAGTTCACCTGTGCAGAGACGTACGTCAGTTGGCGGCCTTGCCAGTGCAACAGCCTTTGCAAAGACTACGGCAACTGCTGCTCGGACTACCAAGCAGTGTGTTTGTCTCCGCCCGCACCTGCAATTCCGGGGCCAGCTCCGCAACCGCCTGCTGTGACGCCGGATTTGCCGGACACTAGCGGGCCGTCCGCACCCATTACAGCTGTGCCTGTGGAGACGACACCACCGGCTCCTGCCAACGTGTATGCCGTGAACGTGACTGCCCTTCCTTGGACATGGAAGGATGGGCTGAATTCTCCTAGTGAGTCCCCTTTGCTGACTTTCTACATGTACCGTGCAGTGTCGGACGAAGTGTACCCTCCTTTGAACACCAACCTGGGCAGCCTGCCGGGCGTCTTGTGGTACCTCCACCACGAGGTCGTGATTCAAGCACCCCGCAAGTTCCAAATTTCGCGAATTCTGCGCTACAAGGTGCAGATGCGTGCAACTGCACCACTTCTGCGGCTTGGGATGCACTTCGGAGTTCGCCTGGCCTATGACAAGGGGCAGGCCACCGGCCCCTTTGTTTGCGGGCGCACAAATGTTACGAACAAGGACGGAACAACAGAAGGTTACAAGCCAAAGTTCTGTGGCGATGGTGCATTCAAGGCTCAGTATCTTCCAGATCTCAAGCCATATAAGAACGAGTATGAGTATTCCGCCTATGGGTATAACGTCGGCTGCAACAAGCTGGGGGAGTATCCTTTCCCCATGCACCCGGTGTACTATCCGAATGCCATCTGGTACACCCTGCCTGGTGCCTGTCCGAACAATCTCTACTACAACAAGGACAACTCCTGCCAGGCCAGTCAGCCAGGAGGCTACTGCCCCAACATGGAGCCGAATGGTAACGGCACGTGCACCTGGAACTACGAGGATGCCGGTGAGATCTCCCTCGATGAGCTGGTGGGCATCAAAGACTATGCGTCGTGGATGCATAGCCACCGGGAGTATGATCCGGAAACCGATGAAGGTGTCAAGTTCGGCTGGTGGAACGGAATCAACAGTACCGCTGCCAACCAGGAGCGTGTGCGACAGGCTGCTGAGCTTTTTGACAGGAGGTATCCATACATGCCAACAGTTGCCAAGCTTACCAATCCTCCTTGCGACTTCGATTTCGGCTACTTCTACAAGGAGTGGTACCGCAAGGACGGCTACAGCGGACCGTGTGGACCTCCTAATGCCCACTGCAAAGGTGGCATTTGGTGGATTCGCCACGAAGGCCTCAGACTGCATCCGAAGTGGTACGTGCCACTCTCCACCTCTGCTAGCGACGATGACATCCAGCGCCTGCTGTATCAGCTAGGCGAGAATGAGTGCCTTCGTCCCTGTAACTGGGGTGAGACGCCTACGGCAGCCACGCCCAGCAAGGAAACTCCGTGACCTTCCCTTGCGGAGTCTCTTGGGCAAATCCAGATTTTGCAGGATCTGTTTTTCCGACACTTCAATGCGAACATCCCTCAACATTAGAGGCTTCGCCTTGCATGTGCAATATCCGAGACAGGCAAGCAGAATGCAAGAGTCAGAGTTAACAACGGGAGTTCGGGGGCTTTGTTGAATGTAATCATCAGGCCATACATGTCTTGACCTCAGCTGATGGATCAATCGAGCTCTCGCTTTCCATTCACCGCATGTACGCTAGCCGTGCAAAAGGCACGCTTGGCCCGGATTTTGGCTGTGTTTATTGCAGTCTTCAGGAATAATGGCTTTTGCATTTTGAGTTGCACCGAGATCCGTGGCATCAGCGAATTCGTTTCTGCAGCCGTTTAGATCCGACGCTGGGATCCACCGCCCCACTGATCCCCTGCTATACGAAGTTATTTGATAAGGAGGAATGCCAAAATCATGGCGAGGCTTGAGCCGTTGATGTCCTGGCTGAATCCCGGGAGTATCCCAGCTTCGGACCGGATAGGCGAATTTTGTCGCAGCGTGCTCCTGAGAAATCTCAGAAGTCCCGGCCCACCCACAGGCAGCAACGTGGCTGCATTCCGAGACTGGACGGAAAGCGACTGATTGTCAGGTTCAGACTTGGAGAGCAGCCGATGAAAGCTTTTGCCCGGCTGGCTAGCACAGCCTAGCTGCTGGAAGCTGGCGCCGGGAAGTTGAGATGCGTGAGCACAAGATTAAAAAGGCCCACGGCAGGACTAGTTGCCTTCAAGCAGCACAGAGGGAACATAGCAAACAAGGAGAGAAGAAGGATTCGCTGGATGATGTGTGTGTGTGTGTGTGTGTGTTTGTCCGTTCTTGTTCTTCCGATGCATGGTGAATGATGTCAGCGTTTACCGGATATGTTTTCTGCATGGTGAGCATCGTCATGAGCCGTGACAGCTCTGGGCAGCATGTGCCACGGGCTGCATCCACCATCACCATCTCTCACGTCATTGATTCTCTACCTCATGTTTTGGCATCCATCTTCACTAGCATCACCTCCATCATCAACAGCAATCGTCACCGTCAGCCGTAAGCCTAAACCCAAGACCCCTGAAACTCCTATATCTTAAACCCAAGGCATATGAACCTCGCCAGGCTTGTCCCAGTTGTGAGTCCGGAAACCCAAGGCAGATTGCCGCCTTCCAGCAAACTTTCCACGAGTTCGACCTGGATGGCTCCGGCACCATCAGCGTTTCGGAGCGATCACCTGTCACAGATGCCTCACACAAGCATAAGAATTTAGACCTTAGCCTTAGATTAACGACCCCAAATCCTAGACCCTCAGCAGACTATAGCCCTACAAACCAGAATCGACCCTCACTAGGCGAGATTGTAGTCTTCGGAGTTGGTCCTATCTGTATACTTGCCGCCGTAGCGAAAAGATCGTCTTGCCGCGATTCACGCGAGATAGTTTGAATCAGTACATATGCAGGCGTGTATGCGCATGTAATGTAGACAGGTTCGATTTTGTATGAATCCGCCCTCAGGTGTTGCCAGCAGAGATTTGCATAAAGCCTTGGCTGGTCTGTCCGATTTCTCGCGGAACACTGCCAAATATTTTCTTGCAGTGGCTGACATGACAGCGCAACAATAGCACGAAGCAGAGTTGGGTCTCGAAGCCCTTAGCTTGACCCTAAACCCGATTAAACAAACTGAGCATAGACATTCTTGCGATCTCTCGCATGGACGCTTTACACAGGAGCTGACCGCAGTCTTGCACCAGATCGGCCTGGAGCCACCCATGGATATCGTCTTCGCCATGCTAGAGGCTTGAAGTCATCAAGTCGTGTGATACCTGGACTGCCGGTGAATCTGTTGAAAACTAAGCCAACCTGCACGTGCAGTTTTAAATATCGTGGTTGCTCTGCTCAACCTGACCTCGATTTCCGATGCAATGCCCTGCTGCCGCTTGAGATGCTCTCAGGAGCTGTTCCAATCCAGCCTCGATTGAAGTTTGGTCTTGCTTGCCATGGCTCGCCGCCCTCTCTCACTAATCTTCGCCCTGGTGCATCTTGGAGTCGCTACGAACATCCGTGGATCCAGTCTGGGCGAGACTGAGACTTCTCTGCCAAAAGAGCTTCTGGGAGGCAATGCAGTGGTAGGCATGGATCAGGACAGGCACACGAAGATGTTGGTTCAGGTGAAAGCCACTGATGGCATTGTCGACGCGTGTGAGGATGTCGTTTGTGGAGAGCTGAAGTGCCCAACCGGGTTCACGGCGACGAAGTATGATGGCCATTGCTGCGCGTACTGCGTCAATCCCGACATCAAGATCGAGCCCAAGATCGTGGGGGCCACCGGAAAGTTTGGTGCAGAAGAGAGCGATGTTTGCCCGTACGTGTGGTGTTTCCCGACAATGTGCGAAAAGGAGGAAGTCATGCCGACACCAGACAATGGCCAGTGCTGTCCTGTGTGCGCCAAGTAGTAGCCGACTTGCACACCGACAGGACACGTGCGCAGTGGAAATTCGCCGCCGTGCGAGTTGTCTGCAGTCAAGGGCTCCCTTACTTACATTTCTGCCCTGTTGCATCTAGCCGAATTCAGTCGCCTAGCTCCTTGTTTCAAGCAGACTCACTCAGGGTTGGCAGTCGTGTAGTCTCGCGGGACACCAATGAATAAAATCCCAGCATTGCAACCAGAATCGTCTTCTGGCCTGGAGGCGATAGACATTGACAAGAGCGGCGACATCGCGCCATGGCAGTTACTTAGGGCTGAAAGATTTGGGTATTGTGGGTCGAGAGCTGCAGCTTCTGTGTCTGAGATCCCACATAACGAAACCAACGATGTGGCTCGGCTCGAATTGTGTCGAACTAGGCAGATCCACACATATCCACACGTTGGACATGAAGGACTGTATACTTCAATGCCCTCATCCGGCCAGACTCGCTCCACCCTGAACCGAAAGCATGAATCCTTCCCGGCATTCTCAGTCATCCGAAGATGGCTTACCTGACCCAACTAGCAATTTCTTCTAGAGACATACACCACTCATCTCAACTTGGTGAAGCCGTGCACCGGTTGCCAAGTCACGCAAGGACTTTGACGAGTTCTGCGCTCTCTTGACGAGAATGCTGGGCCCCGATGGCAAGGTGGACATCGACAGGATGCTTCGCAGCAGCTTGGCCTTCAGCCCATACGGACAGGGGGAGGGCATGAGCCTCTCATCTGTCCGAGCCTTCGAGAACGTCCCCACCAGAAAAGGACCATGGACCATGCAAGCTTGGATGGGTGTTGCTGTAGTTCAGTTTCGGGATTCGGGTTCTTCCGGGTTCTCCGCATTCAAGCCTGATGTCGCAGTGGTGTTTCGCACGAAGCGAAAAGACCTTCCCCGAGACCTGAGCTCTGTGATCCTAACTTATCAGCCTGAAAAAAGCATAAACTCCCTGTTCGCTAAGGTATGTTCGACAGCATGTCCTACGAAGCAAAGCAAAGGAAGGCTGTGGCTCGTTTCTCGAATTCCTTGCAGCTTTAAGTGTAGGGGGGGGCAGTTGACAGCAGGCAGCCCAGAGCAGGACTCAGACTGGTTGGATGATTTAATGCGCGGTGTGTAAGATCTCAATGTTTGGCCTTTAGAAGGGAGCAGGGGCAGAAAGTGCAGTTGAAGCAGCTCGCACCTGCACACTCAGCCACTAAGCCACAAAACCCGACAACTTCCCCAAGGTGGAGACAGTCATCCTGCACACGACGGAGCTTCGAGAGCACAAGGACCCAAGTGTCGAAATGATAGCGAAAAGCTGCCTCTTCAAGATCGAACACAGTTGAACAAAAGATAGACTTGTTGGTAACATAGCACAGAATCACATGAAGACCATGTTGGTCGGACGGGCAACAGATCTGAGCATGATTTTAAGAAACTACGGAGGCTTATCGGTACTTGGCTGCATGCGCAGCATTCCCGATTGCAACCCCGGGACTCGACCAGCTCAAACAACATCGTTTCGCTCTGCAGGTACGTTGTTAGAAGGGTTCTCGTTTGAAGGTTGGGGGTCTAGGGGTTAGGAGTTGACGCGGAATGCGTGAGCAGCGTTCGCAAACGTACGCAAGCGTCC